GCATGAAACTTTCATCGCCGGCGCCTTGATCACCAACACGAAGCTGACGAGGTTGAGCCAAGACTTGGATGCTACAACTACTGACATCTCTCATCCCCTCTCCTCTCCTGTTGTCTCCTCCTCCCTCTCCTCCTCTTCTTCCCCCCATCCCCTCTCTCCCTCTCCCCCCCACTCTCTGTCATTCTCTTCCCTCGCACTTTCTCCTTCCTCTCTCAGCGTCAAGGACTGCTGCGAAGCATGCTCCCGCCTCAAGGACTGCAAGGCGTTCGTGTGGATCGTGACTTCGAGCGAGTGCTGGACCAAGTCAAACATCCGAGAAATGAGCAAGAGGAGGCTTGTTTTCTCTGCCATCCGCTCAGACCCCGCGTCGTGACGTCTTGAATGTAAAGATAGAGAGTTGTCTACATGAATGATAGTGGAAACATGAGATGTCTTGTAAAGATAGTCGCTAAGAGAGTTCTTGTGCCGATAGTCGCTACATCAGATGTCTTATAACAATGGAGCATTATCCTTCACCAGGATGGTGAAGGATAAAAAGAGGAGGCAGAATTGCAAGGAGGAGAGACGGAAATATGAAAGATAGGACAAGATAAGGGAAGAGAGGAGAGGAGAGGAGAGGCGAAGAGAGGTGAGGAGAGGAGAAGACGAACAATCATGATATGTTTGCTTTTGCTTGTTCGGTCGAATCAGAGGAGAGGGAGATTTACTAGCAGGTGGAGTAGAACCTGAGGGTCCAGGAAGGAAGCAGAAAAGGCGCAGAATGACGGGAAACAAGCAAACCAGAGCAAAAGGTGAGAGAAAGAGGGGAAGAAAAGAGAGTAGAAGGGGAGAAGAGCTGGTGCTCGCAGGAAAGACAGTGACGAATATCAGCTGGTACTCGCAGGAAAGAAGCGAGCAGCAGGAATGGGAGCTCCGGCAATGAAGTCAAGAGTCGCTCGGACAGCTGCCTGCCGGCCCGACGGACGTCAGAGGAAATCATCATCATCTCCTCTTCCTCCTCCTCCTCCTTCTCCTCCTTCTCCTGCTCCTCCCTTCCCTTTAGCAACCTCTCCTCCCCTTCATCCCTTCTCTGCAATCCCCCTCCTCTCCTCTCTCGCTTCCCTTCCCCCTCCCGCCTGTCCTCTCCCCTTCCCCTCTACCTTCTCCCTTCCTCCCCCTCTCCTCTCATCCACTTCCGCCCCCTCACCGGATGCTGAGTGATGTAATTGTGAGGGGCCGTCAGCACCAGGTGAGCATGCGCGCTGTGCCGCAACCTCGTTTCCTCTACCGTGATCACGCCGTCGTTGGGGCCCTGTAGGAGCGGATTGATCGCCCCGCAGTCTCCCGCTATGATGAGCGTCCTGCAGTAGCTCGGGAGGTTGCCGAACGACCAGTCGCCCCTCCCTTCCTCCACCGCCTGCAGCTCCCGGCCGGCCTTGTGTCCCAGGAGGCTGTCGGAGAGGGAGGAGGCAGCCTGGTTGATCGCCAAGTCCCACACGCTCTTCACGTCCTCCTTGGGTCTCAGGAGCCGTGCGAGGGAGGAGCCTTGGTTGGGAGGAGCGATCATGACGCAGCGCAGCTCCTTGCTCGCTAGCAGCAGCGAGTCTTCGAGTCTCCTCCAGCCCTCGCATCGCATCGCCGCTCTGATCAGGATGGCGCCGAAGGAATGCGAGACGAGCGCAAAACTTCTTCCAGCTTGCTGCGCAGAGGCAGGAGGATTCAGGAAGAAGCAGGGGAGGAGGGAGGGGGGAGGAGGGAGGGAGGGAGGGAGGGAGGGAGGGAGGGAGGGAGGGAGGGAGGGAGGGAGGGAGGAAGGT